CCCGTGCCTGGGGCTTCCCTCCTGTGGCCAGCAAGCACGGGGAGAGCTGGGGAAACAAACAGCCCAGCAGGGGCTGTGCTCCTTGCTGCAATGTGCAGTGCTGGCTAGAGCCAAGTATCAGTGCCCCTGCCTGCTACTGTGCCATGAGGGGGAGTGTGGAGGGAGGGGTCCCCAAGCATGCTCCCTCTAAGCTGCGCAGCGTTGGTGGCCACACAGGTGCACCTGGCAGTGCAGCATGAGTGAGCCTGCGCAGCCGTGTGTGCCACACAGCTTAAAGGGAACACTGGTCCCCAGACCCTCCCTCATATCCCACAAACCACACAGACACAGACCACTGTTGCCTGCATTGACTGCAGGAGAGGACAGTGTGTTCCAGAGCCACACACCCACACCCCACAAACACCACACAACCCTCCCCAACATATCCTGTGCCCCCCACACACAGCCACACCCCCTCACAAGTTTCCCCACACACACCCACCCACACCTCACCATAAACACCCCTACATCCTCCCCACCACACCCCCTATAAATATATATATATATATACATACATATATATACATACACACACATATATATATATACACACACACACATACACATACACACACACATATACACACACACACACATATACACACACACACCCCCACACAATATAAAGACTAAGGATTTATTTTTGAGTTATTATGCTATCACCTCTATATACACTACACAAACACAAATCATGACAAAAATATTTTTTGTAATGAAATTAAAATGCATTACAGTAGATGTTTGATTTTTAGTGTATGATTTTTTTTCTGGTTCTAAGATGGCAACCCTCCCCTCTCAAAAGGAGTATTTGCAGGAGGCAAGGGGAGGGACTTCTGGTGGTAAAGGTCAAGGGTTAGGGTTCTAAGATAGCAACCAGGGGGCAGGGCACCTGTCAAGGGGTAGAGCTACCCATGCGGTCCTCAATAGCTCAAACCTCATTAAGCAGCCCTTCACTTGGAATAATTGCCTGCCCCTGGTTTACACACATGAATACTAGCTGGTTAGGCAGTCTGATACTACGGTCTTAAGAAACTCCAGCCTGGTGACCGTGATTAGATAGAGTGGGAGTTTGTGCACACAGCTATCAGAATTAAAAATGGAAGAAATGATTGTCCCCATCCCCTGCTTTTTGGAGATGCAGCATACCCACTCCTCTACATGACCTAGGCATGCTGGAGGGTATTGGGAGTCCACCCAGATGTCACCATGCACTAGCTGCCCTAGATAGTTATCTTGGCATGCATTATTCATAACATTTATGTAGCCAAGGGGGAACGCCTTTCTGGAGGGCAGAGGAAGCTCAGCACCCTGAGGGCTGCAATGTACCACGCAGAGGCTGAGATCCTGCAGCACAACTGTCAGGGTGTTCCACCCTGGCAAACTACTTTAAGCGGTGCCAGGGTGCACAGTGGGAGGAGGGCATGACCAAGTAAGCAGTAAAAAGGTATGCAACACAATGTGGTTGCTTTGTGAACTTACAAAAAAAAAATCTATCAAATAATGCACATAATCAAAAATGTCTATGCTTTCTTTACTGAACTAAGAAAAAGCACATTACAAATTAGGGATGGGGATGATGTATGTCCAAACTGTGGTCTCTTGATTCAAAGTGTCTCAAAGTGTGCCCAGGACGGAAAAGGGAATCCTCTGGTGTGGAATGACAAGGTAGCATGCCTTCACATTGACCGGACGGATCAAAGGGCCTTGAGTCCCAGGCCATTGGCCCCTCACTGGAGAAGAAGTGACCTAGGACCTGTGAAGTGGAAGGGAGCTGGCTCCCTGACTCCTCTGTAAAAGGTCACAGCTCTAAGACTGGAAGTTGAGTCAGAGTAAGGGATGCCAGTCCTGGAATAGGAGAATCAGGTTGGGGCAGGGTAAGAGGGAAGAATCTGATGCAAGTGTGTAAAAGTATGACCAGGCTACGGTCATGTGCCTATATCTACTAGGACTTGTCTCAGACCTCCCACAAGCTCAGGGGAAAGATCTAAGCATGGGAGCTTGAGGACCAACCAGAAAGTTGGACTGGCAGCAGTGTGAGCTAAATCCCAGGGAGCAAATGTATGCAGATGAATAGGAGTTTGGGGCTGGGAAGAACCCTGGGATAAAGAAATCTTAGGTGGTGGGGGTGGAGCAGGACATAAACGCTACTGTTGGGGATCAGCCTTAAGCTGGGCTTTAGTGCTGTGGGGCAGCTGCTGGTAGCCCCATCCCTTGCTGGAGCTTAATTGAGCCTGTTGCTGGTACACATGGACTGGAGGCTGTGCCACTAAGGTAGAGGAGGGCCACTTGGGCAGTTTTAGTGAGTTGCTGTGGGCCGACTAAGCCCCTGTCCCCCAGCCATGCCAGGTCAGTAGCCTGCCCTTCTTTCCTGCCTCCCACACGCAACAGCTCACCAAAACTTCCTAAATGGCCCCTGCGCTCAGCTGGGTGGATGGGATGGGATGGGGCTGCAGGCAGGCTGGCAGCAGCATCTGGGAGTGGGACGGGCAGGCAGGGCCAGGTTTGGGAATCATGACAGCAGGGCAGTAACAACCTGGGGCAGAGCCGCGATCCGCTCCCCACATGCTCTTGCCCATGGAACCAGCACCCGTTGAGGGACACGTGGGCAGCGAATCGCAGCTCTACCCTGGATCCCGGTCCCATGCTGTCACCACCCCATGATCCTGGCCCCACCCAGCTATCCCGCTCCTGGACACTGCTCCCCCCTTGCCCACAGCCCCATCCCATCTGCCTGGCTGCCCTCCTGTGGGGGTCCTGGGTTGATCTCCATGGAGATCCTGCCTGCCCAGGTAAACCCAGCGGTGGGTGCA